ATGATAATATTGCTATGTTAGCGCTCCTGTAGTATTTCCCTCGGACGGCCAAACTTGGGGCAAAAATCCTTCATAACTTGTTTTAGAGAAACGATTAGCAGAAATGGAAGCCAGGTTCGGAATCAGCGTTCAAAGATGAGTATAACGGTATGCATATCATCTCAAAAGGCCACGGACACCAAGTATCATTCCCTTATTAGAGGTTTGACTTTTTGAGATCAGGCCCACAAGATTTTGGAGAAATGAATTCAAAAATTACGGCATGGTGGCACAAGTTTGCGCAATTAGGAAACGTTCATTACAGACTGAATTTTGATAGCATTAATTCTGCCATTTCGTTGGTTCATGAAAACTCTACTAGTTTTTGAAACCTTAAGAAACATGAAAATGTGGCTCAGACTGACACTAGCGAATGCATCTAGTTCCTTCAAGATTACTTTGAGCTTGATCGAAAGTGAATTCACGAGAGTCAAAAACATGCGTATAATTAGAAAGAGGTTACTGCTTCGCGCTTAATCAAATAAATTATGTGGGAACTTCTTCTTTCTTCAAACTACTGATCATGTGATTTTATTTCCTAGCGATGAAAATCAAGCCTAGGCTAGCTAAGTAGTATGACTCAAACGTATGAGATACACTCACCGTGGAAAAATCTAGTACTGACATAATCCAAGCAGTCATGGCTAAGTTTAACACAATAATAATAGTTAGGAGAAGAATAAATATGTAGAGGCATCGCTTCCGCCATCCATAGATGCCTACCCTGAAAATTAGACGGAGGATAAGACAAGTGCAGTTGGGATGAACCTACTTGTATATATCAGCATCTGCTACGGGTTTTAGTTGTGAATGTACAATAGTTGTATGCGTGGTCGCGGCTGGATAAGTTGAATAAGGCATGCTCGGATGCAAAGGTTGCACAGAAGCACCCCGAGGTGGTTCCGGCATGGAGCCACCTCGGGTCCAAACGCCATCGTCATTAACTCCGTAGAGAGGATAACGGCTCATACCTTCAACACCACGTCATTTCATTAAAGACATCATGTATATATACAATGAAAGAAAATGATAAATCTAAAAATGAATGGTTTACGAGCAAGCAGGATACATTGATCACACCTGGACGTTACTCATAGGATACTAAGGTTGTTCCAAAAACAAATCCTGTTTCAACAAGTATCACGCTGTTTCGTTTTCTTGGCACGAATAGGGTACTATTCGTTAGAACA